GATCACTATTGTGCAGACGGATAATCATTAACGTGTAAGTAGTCCAACACTATTGTGCACGTTTTCGGTCATTATTGTTCAGTCTAAATAGACCGAACATATGTTACAAACCAATTTAAAAATCAAACCAAATTAATTACTTTATTTGATCAGCTAATCGAATTAACCTAATAAAAAATTAAAATATTATTTACATTATATAAAATAAAAATTTCAATATAAAACGGATAATAAAATCGACATAAAATTTGAATTCAAAAAATTAGTTCGGTTTTATGTCAATATAGTGATATTTGTTAGTACTAATGTGCAATCCCTCTGACACTAATGTGCACACGAAGCGCAACCATTTTTCAATGATATTTCCCAAACCAAAATCGAAATAATATTTATATAAATGTAATATAAGAATAATATTTTTTTATGAAATTTGGTCAGTTCCATTATTGTTATTATTATTATTTCTATTTTTATTATTTGTAAATAACGTGAGATCGGATTTAAGTGCCCAAGATTGTAATAAATGTGAAAGTGACACTGCCATGCTAATGTGCATTACCAAAGGAATTAATGTGCATTTGCTATAACATTATTGTGCATTCTGACAGTCATTAATGTGCAGTTCGTATAACACTATTGTACACTAACAGTGCATTCATTTTTTATAATTCCCCCAAAACAAACTAAAATTGAACTAAAAAGTCGAATACTCAGTTGGTTTATCCAAATTAAACTAAACAATCAAAATAATTTTTAATATTTTTATTATGAAAATATATTTAATATTTTAATGTTTTATTTAATATTTTATATTAGTTTTAGTTGAAAATACCTAAAATACATAAAACAATTAGAAATAAAATTTTTTATATAGTTCGGTTAGTTCGATTATTAAAAAAAACAACTGTCATATAACCTAAATTTTAAAATAAAATATAGGTAGTAGGACTGACATAAAACATCATATATATTAGTTTATTTGTTTCGATTGCTATTGTGCAATCGACAAGTCACTAAAGTGCAGCCCATTAGTCATCAATGTGCATATCACAATTGTGTATAATATTTAATGTGAATATACACCATACATTGTGCATTTTATTTATCATTAGTATGCATTTGTTAAATTTTCTATAAATTACAAATTTGGTACATGAACCAAATTGAAATATAACAAAATTTGTGAAAATTACACTTAGGCCCCTAAAAGTTATCTAATTTTCAAACAAATGCCCTAATCCCAAATCATCTTCTTCTGCCCCATCACTCCACCACGGCGATTCAGCCCTCTCCGGCCACCAAATCCAGCATCAATGTGCTCCACCGCCTTTATTGTTCGCCCTGTACGTGGATGAACTCACTTCAGGTGTGTTGATTTTTTTTTTAGAGATCCGCCATTAAAGCTCGACCTTCGAGCTCGAAGGTCAATTTTCCAGTGTCGGCGCCCGCTGAAACTGAATTGACGGGGCATATTAAAGACTATTGAGACGACGACGGTTGGTTGCCGGTGACGGAGCTTCCTGGTGGAAGTTGATGTCGGACATGATGATTTTAACGGTGGAGAACTGGAGCTCCACCACGTCCGGAGCGCGGCTGTACCATAGCGATGTGCGGCTGATTGAACCGAGGACGCCGTGAGATATATTCTTCCATGCAAACCGAAAATATCGAGAGCCAAGAAAGTAAAGGATAGTAATAATTGAGAGCATAAAGATAGTAAGTAAAGAAATGAGCGTTGTCTAGCCATTGTCCAAGCATAGCACACACTACCGAAAGGAAAGCCAGAGAGAGAGAGAGAGAGAGATAAGTCAGATTTGGTGATATGGGTTTGTTAATGGTGGGTCCTACTAAATTGATTTGGTATTTGTATAATGTCTAAATTACCCTTAATGAATGTATAATGATGTACTTTTTTATGACCTTAGGATGATCAAATTTAATGGCTAAGATCTATTCTTATTTCTTTCATTGAGCACCATTCTCATGTGAACTCATCCCATATATATATGTATATATGTATATATACATATAATCACATTCATATAAATACGTTATATATATTATTTTCTTATATATAATTTAGAGAACATATATTATTTGAAAGTAATGGCATAATGGTAAATTCAGTGATAAAGTAATGGCATAATGGTAAATTCAGTGATAAAGTAAGGGTATAATGGTAAATTCGATGAAAAAGTAACGCCGTCAGTATTAAAGTAACGCTGTTAGCATCAAATGGCGAGTATGCACGCAGATATTAAATACAAGAGGATTTGACGCAATTTTTAAAATATAGGGGGATAACGCGCATATTTCATATAATACAGGGGAATTTGGTGCAATAAATCCCTATGGACTGACTTGATCGGCAAAGTGCTAACATCAGAACCCCCCTGGCCCATTTTGTAGGTGTACGAGCAGATAAAAATGTAGATCTATGCTGTGAAAACGGACATAGGCCTTTCGTACACTATATACCATATTTTAGTAGTGAAGTAATTACTCATATTGGGAGAAATATTACCTGCTCGTCAAGATGGATTGAACTCCATGATCCAGTCTTTTATTTTTTTCAACGACAAGCATATCTACAATGCCTACTTTCCAACACACGTGCAACCAAAACTTGTTCTTCACATTGCCATCGTCAGACAAACTCACTTGTTTTTATTTTTGGTTTATTTTTCATGGGACGCAATGTAGCATAAGATGAAAGATTTGTAATTTACATTCGACCACCTCTTACCAATAAGGGTGTACATTTTTTTCAAACCTCAATCTAAGAGAATTTATTATTGTAGCAGCAACTTCCTACTCACCCAATTTGTGTGTCTTTCATTGCATCTAACAATAATATAAAATTTCAAATGAGCCTTCAAAGTTCTCAGCATAAACTAGTATAAAATACTGATGACAAAAGTACTATACTATATAGATAGATGTATGAGTATGCATAAGTGGTACAATGATGATTTACGAGAAATAAACACAGTCTAACATAAATAGTTGGTAGATATGAACAACAACAAAGAGATTATTGTCACCTTCTTTGTTTTAGACTGAATATGAAGAACAATATTCAAAATTGGGTCCTTAATAAAATATGAAGAACAAGATTTGGGGGAAATACGATGAATAAAAGACGAGTTCAGACTCTGTAATAAGTACACAAAGACCGACCACCTTTTTCTCCGAAATACGACAAGTTAAGAGTTTGACGGAATTAAGTCGAAATTTCGCTGGAAAAAAGTCTTTCGCTGGCGTTCGTCCTGTATTCCACCAGAGTTCTTCTCGATCGTTTGTCAACAGAATTTTTCACGCCAGACGTTCGCCGGAATTGTTCTTGTCGCCGGATAACCTGTAAAAAACAAAAGAAAAAGAACCCGACAGGGAAAAAAGTGGAAGGAAAATAGTTGATGGGAGGACAATTGTAGAAATTGAAACAAAAAAAATAATAGAAGTCATGGAGAGATGGTAGCGATGAGTTGATATTTTTTATGTATTTTTTTGTGTTAGAGAGTTGAGTATAATTTTAATGTGATATTAGAGAGTACAAATAAAAAATAAGTAAATGAGTAAGTGATCATACAATTAACGATTTAGTGGAAAAATCCCCATCCCCATATATAGATATTGCACATGTGATGATGAAAAATGTGAGTAGTGATCAAATTCCAAGCTTAACATATATTTATATATAGATATTGCACATGTGATGATGAAAAATGTGAGTAGTGATCAAATTCCAAGCTTAACATATATTTATTTGACAAAATTGCAATTTTAGTTTTGTTGGTTTGATCTAGTGGAGTTTTTGGTCTTAACAATTGAACATTTTTGCTATTTGGTCATATAATTTTAAAATTCAACGCAATTTCAGTCATTTGAGACTGAAAATTCAACAAAATTTAAAATTACAAGACTTAAATTATTAACAAAAAATTTTTTGGATGAATTTTTTATCAGCAATTTAAGTCCTGTAATTTTAAATCTCGTGTCAATTTCAGTCTCAAATAACTAAAATCACAAAAAAATACTAAATTACAGAATGAAAAGATAAAAAAGTTTTAAAATCTTAAGATTAAAAACGCTACATCGTTACACAGGATTACTAAAAATGCAATTTTGCCTATTTATTACCTCACATTATCATCACTTTGAATTTTGTCGCTTAACGTTGTTGGCGACTTTACCTTTTTCCTCGGACGATTCTTACGCTAATCACGATTATTACGTCTGTTCAGTTAATGTTATAAGGCTTCGACTACACGCGTGCCTCCTCCCCCTTTCTCCTGCTTTTTTCATCTCTGCTCAGACTTATCCGATTAGGGATTTCAGTTCTTTATTAATCTCCTCCATTTTCGACCTTATTCGGATCAGGTATTCTTCTTCGACCTCACACATATGCTTCAAATTTCATCAATTCTATTAGATCTGTGTGCCTAATTGCAATATTACGATCTTCGCGAGTTCTTAGCTTTTGTCTCATCCCTTTCACTGAGGAAATTTGCTCAAGGATTTCTTAATTCTCGTGAGTCGAGTTTCAGATCATTGTTTTAACTACGTTGTCTTAATTTGATGCCCATGGATGAACCTTGTTTGATCTCTTGCATGTCGATCTAGTCTAATGGATATATGCCCTTTACCAACAACATTATTTTGTCTCTGCAATATGTGAAAGGTGAAAAATTAAGAATTGTTTGTGTTTTACTTGTATTAAATAGAAAAAAAAAAAATGTTTTTGTTTTTGTTCTCTATGATTTGGTGTAGCTAGAAATACTTACAATTTGCTCTTCTGATACATGAACTTTACCTTTCTTGGTCATTTGCGTGCGAATTTGTTTAACTAAGTATTTATTTGATGTATGTGAGATGATGTTTTTGGCTGGTTATTGAAATTTGCATGCAAATTTTGTCGTCTCTGAGTAGGTCTGAGCACTCAAATCAAGCTTGAGAAACAGTGTGGTCACTGATCAGATTTGCTGCATCAACCAAGTTTCATGTCTGATCTTGATATCCAAACTCCTATTACATTTGGTATGCTTATTATCATCAGCCCTTTGTTTCATGGAAAGGTTGCTCTTTTATTGGTTTTTTCTTCTTTGGTCTTTTTTTCTGTTTTTTCATAAAAATTCAAGGGATCTGAAAAAGACCCTCACATTTTAGGTGTTCAAATTACATGAACCCCTTTGAGGTCTTGATCTTATGTCATGTTTTCCATCAAATTGTGGTTGACCCGACATTTCTGGACTTTGCTAAGCAAAACAATTATACAAATAGCCGAAATATTAATGAATGGTTTCTGTTCTGCAAGCGATCTATAATTTTGAATCTTCTTTTGGGTTTTTTGTAATCATTTCAAACTCAGAATCTGTTTTCCAATTGGACCTTGATTCAGTCGTTGAAGAATGGAATTTAGTGGATAAAAGCTTTTTAGATGCATACAAGTATTATATAAAGAAATTAGAGTGAAAAAACTTGTATAAATCATTAGTAGCCCTTCTCATTTTTCTTGGAACTGATAAGAGCCGAGTGTTTTTGACCATGTAATTTGTAGATCCTTTTGCTGATGCAAATGCTGAGAATTCTGGGGCTGGGTCAAAGGAATACGTTCATATCCGCATACAGCAGCGTAATGGTCGGAAAAGTCTGACGACTGTGCAAGGACTGAAGAAAGAGTTCAGCTATAACAAAATCTTGAAGGATCTTAAGAAAGAATTTTGCTGCAATGGAACTGTTGTCCAGGACCCTGAATTAGGCCAGGTTTGTTTTAACTTCAATTTTCTTTTTCCTTCTCTTTCCTCTGTTTATGTCTTACATCAAGAATAACATACATTTTTATTTTATTTTTGCGTTCAGGTTATTCAACTGCAAGGCGATCAGCGAAAGAATGTTTCTACTTTCCTTGTTCAGGTGATTACTTCAGTTCTCTTACATAATGACTTGTCCTTACATGACATACCAACTCGGAAGTGAATCAGAATGTATTATCATGTGGGGAAGTATACGTTAAGGAAAAAATAATAGAGAATGGGCTTTATCTCATGTTCAGTTTCATGCATATGAGAATTTCATTCTTGGACATCCATTAATGTAAACCATGGTTTTGGAAAACAGGCTGGGATTGTGAAGAAGGAGCATATCAAGATTCATGGTTTCTGAGGTGTTTCAGCTAATATTTATCTGTGGGTCCATAAAGCTTGCATCAGTGTGAACCTACTATGATATGCGAAGTTATTATATATAATCGTGCGCCTTAAGATTATCTGAAACTTGTAATATGTCTTTGGTTTCATTTCCAAGCATCGTGTGGGATGTTGAATAAATATTAATTGTTAATGGATTTAAATAATTGCGACGTTCTCTATTCGCGTGCTTTTGGCGAGCTCATTTTCCATGTTAGCTCCTATGGATGTGGATGGATTATGGGGAAGCTGCAACTTCTAGTTCTAGGTGTAGTGAATGTCGGTACTACAAATATCAATGGTTTATTACTCTGTCATTACCTCACTAAAATAATTTCAGTGTCTGTAGTTTGTTAATAATGAACTGTATCAATGGTTTATTACTGTCATTACCGCACTAAAAATAATTTCAGTCTGTAGTTTGTTAATACTGCACTATAAGAAATATCATCCTGTAATGTGTGTCATAATTGGATTGCTGCATTTTGCCATAAATGGCCTAGTTTCTCAATTTGGCCAGTTTTACGAAAGATAACGCTTTATGTGTTATTCCCTTTTTGAATGCATAATTCATCGTGGCCATGCAATTGCATCCACATTAGCAACACAACCCCTTTGAACTAAGCGGACGTAATCGAGCTGAGTTAAAACAAAATCAATCAACATAGCTTACAAGTTTTGCTTTGAAAAATCAACATAGCTTAAATCTTTCACACTTGAGAGCGTTAATAAAAGGCAAACTCAACATAGCTTACAACTTTCAGACACTTCATAATGCCGAGCTAAAAATAAAATCAACATAGCTTACAAGTTTTGCTCTGAAAATCAACATAGCATACAACTTTCACACTTAAAAAGGCAAACCCAAACATTACTTGCAACTTTCATCATACCCGTTAGAAATATGTGGGGCTAAAGTAGGTTTGAAAACCTTTTTGCCCATTCATATGACAGAGCAGTCGCTAGTCAGTCATCCTATAATGTATGAAAAATTGTTTGTAAAGTGTTTGTTTGTAAAGTGTAAGTAATGATTGCGTAATGGCATTTACCCCTACCTTTCATACCTATTGTCTGTTTACATTGAATTCATGTCTTCTTGAACGAAGCTTTGCCCTACTCGGCTGCCTGAAGGCCTGCCCGATTACCTGGACTGCCTGTGGGCCTGGCCGACTGTTATTTGGCTACTTCTAGATCTGTCTGGGACCCATTTTATTAGTAGGATCATCTAGATTGTGTCCGAGTTACTATGACACTAATACCTTACAGTCCGAG